TATATATATGGCTATGAGTAAATTGAGGTTCTTGGGTGGTACAAAGGTTTTGTGCTCACCTGCTAATCTAAAGGTTGGCCGTTCAAACCTACCTGGCAGCACCATCGAGGAAAGCCCTGGCATTCTGCTTCTTTAAAGATTACAGCCTAGAAAACCCTATGGGGCATTTCTACTCTGTAACACATGGATCGTCATGAGTTGGAATCTACCCGGCAGCAATGCGTTTTTGTTGGTTTTATGAGTAACTTGTTTAATTTGAGCCCTGGTAGCACTGTGGTTAAACCACTTGGCGGCTAACCAAAGGGTTGGTGGTTCGAGCCCACCAGCTGCTCTGCAGGAGAAAGACTGCTTCCGTAAAGATTTACAGCCTTGGAAACCCTGTGGGGCAGTTCTTCTCTGTCCTATGGGGTCGCTATGAGTCAGAATCAACTCCATGGCAATGGATTGTTTAACTTAGAATTGGCTGCGATTTCTTGGAAACAGTCACTCATACACTTACAAAGCGAGAAGACGTAACCTATGCATTGCTTTGAAATGCAATGCAATTTTCATGAAGGGAAACATCAGAGAAGATAGCCTAATGCCACATTTCATAGAAATTTAGTTAACTGCTTCACTCAGCCAGTACTTATAGGGTACAGACAGTGTGCCAGGTGCTGTACCAGGAGCTGGGGACCCGGCAGCGAACAAGACAGACAGAAATCTTTGCCTCGGGGAGCTGATGTTCCAGGGGCAAGAGTGACAGCAATGAAGAAAACAAATAATCAGATAATGGAGTAGGTTAAGGGGTCCCTGAGGCGTGCGGACAGTTAAATACTCGGCTACTAACTGAAAGGTTGACAGTTCTAAACCCTAGAGGTATCTTGGAAGAAAGGCCTGGCGATCTGCTTCGAAAAGGTCACAATCATTGAAAACACTATGGAGCACAGTTCTACCCTGACACACATGGGGGTCATCACGAATTGGAATAGACTCTACAGCAACTGGATTTTTTTTTTTTTTTTTTGGTTTAGAGTCGGTCAGAGAGTGCTCAGCATTAAAACTAAATCACCAAAACCAACAAACGAAACCGCTAGGGATGGGATATGAATGTTTGGGTGGTGTGGTTCAAATTTTTGATAGGATGGCCAAGGACGTTCTCATTGAGTAAGGACTGGAAGGATTTTGAGGGAGTGATCCCAGTGGCTTTCTGGGTGAAGGAACATTCCAGATTGTGTGAATTTAAGTCACAAATGTCCATGGCTTCTCAGCAAGCTATGTGCACACTTGGGGATTCTTAGGATATGAGAAAATCTTACTCATGCATTGCTTTCCAATGTGACACCATCTATAAGGACCTTCAAAGGTCACATTTTGGAGAAATGTCAGCAAACAGCCATTCCTTGTCTGCACATTCTTCTTATATTTTGGAAGAGATACATTTCGTTGTTATGATGATCAAATTTAGGTCTCAAATGTTTTGTAATCACACAGGCCTTAGGCCCCGTGCGTTTTAAGTATCTGGTGGCAAAAATCACCCTGGATGGGAGGAAAGAAGGGATCTGCTTTCCCCACCCACAAAGGTCTTCCAGGGTCTGCAGGGAAATAGCTAAGGATTCCTGCCTCCTGAGTCAGCCTGGCTGAGGGCCTGGCAGGGCCTGGAAGTTCCCAGACCAGCCCTCTGTGGCTATAGGGGTGGGGAGCTGGGCAGGGAGCTGGCTCCAGGCACCGCATACCTGAGCGCCAGGTGTGTCTCCTGGATGCCTGTGCACTTCCTGTTTGTCACCTGGGCCTGGCCTCCTCAGTCATAGAGTCCGCTAATCCCTGGTTCCTTGCTTACTGGGGAGACAGAAGTGGGTCACTACCAACGTTCTGGGACATTCGGAGAGCTCAGATTGAGCACAGGTCAGCCAAAGGCCAACCCAGCCATCCCCCTGCCTCTGAGTCCTTTGGGATAATTTCTGGATATTCGGGCAGGGAAGAGAGGAAGGGGGCCTGATTAGGAGTGGGGGAGGGGAAGCATGAGGAAGAGACTAGGGACCAGACCAGATGCCATTGAGTTGAGTCCGACTCATGGTGACCCCATGTGCATCAGAGTAGAACTGTGCTCCGCAGGGTTTTCAACGGCTGAGTTTTTGGAAGTAGATAGCCAGGACTTTCTTCTGACGTACTTCTGGGTAGACTCAAACCTCCAACCTCTTGATTAGTAGCCGAGCTCTTAACGTTTTGCATCACCCAGGGACTCCATGGGGAAGAGGGGGAGGGGGTTTCTCATGCCCGTGTTGTGTCAGAGCATACATACGTCCACACAGGTGCAGGGGGATGGCCACCGACACACACAAGGACACAGACAGACATGGGATGTCCTACTCAACGGTGAGCAAACCATGATTGGTTGAGCCCTTATTGTGTGCCAGGCCCCATTCTAGACCCTGGAGACACAGCGAGGAAGGAGACAAAGGCCCTGCTCTCCCCCAACCTCGCCTTTTGGTGGGCGAGACAGACATCAAACCAGCACACAGTGAATGGAGAAGACAATTTCTAAGGGTTATCAATGAGGGTGATAAAACAGGGAGATGAGGTAGAGGAGAGTTTCCTGGGTGGCACAAACAGTTTGCGCCCTACTACTGACCTAAAGGTTGGTGGTTCTAACACACCCAGTGGTGCTCAGGAGAAAGGCCTGGCAATCTGCTTCTGTAAAGATGACCACCAAGAAAACCCTATGGAGTAGTTCTACTCTGTGATACATATGGGGTCACCATGACTCCGAATCGACTCGCAGGCAACAGATTCGGGTTTTTTTTTGTTTGTTTGTTTTTTGTTTTTTGGTAACGAGGGAGGGGACAGGCTACTTTAAATAGGGTGTTCAGGAAGGCCACTCCCACGAAGTGCCATCGGAGCGGAGGCCTCAGTAAGAGAAGGAAGTGGGTATGCAAAGATTTGGAGAAAGGGCAGCCCAGGTGGAGGGTACGGCAAGTGCAAAGAATGAGTTTGCTCTTGCCGTTTAAAATCATCCAGGGGGCCGGTGTGGCTGGAAGGTGGTGAGCCAGGAGCAGAAGGGAGGGGCAGTGAGGTCAGCAGTGGGGGCTGGCATGGGCGAGACCATTTTAATCGGAGCTTCCTGGAAGGAGGGAGGGACACGATCTGATTTGTGGCCTAAAAAAAGTGGAAAAATGGAACCAGGGAGGTTTTCGCTGCTGCACAGGAAGACATGGAGGGGGGCGCGCCCAGGTGCGCCCAGGTACACGAACACGCATGCAGCCCAGAGACCTACTCACGCACTCGGCGAGCTCTTCTCCATCTGCGGACGCGCGTGGACAGACACTCAGATCCTCCTTCCTAGCCGGTGGCCCCACCTGGAAAGAGAAGACTCCCCTCCCCAATAATCCCTCAGTCCTTGGACGGGTCTGGGGCTCCCCTGCTCACCTGGGCTGGACCCACTGGGCCCTTTCGAGGCGGGGGCCTGAAGCTCCGTGACTCCTGGCCCCGCCCTCTCCGCCTTGGCCAGGCCCAGCTTCCCCTGATCGCATCTGCTGGGAGCTGAGCCCAGTCACCTGGCCCCGCCTTACACGCCCCGCCCCTCATTCCAGTGGGCCCCGCCCCTTTAGAGCCTCGCCCTGCCCTCCTCTGCACTGGCCCCGCGCACTCCTCCCGCAGTGTCTCTCCCAGTCCGAGGGAATTCGGTCCCTGCTTTAGGAAAGTAGAACAAACTTCAGCCCCATAGCTTCTCCCCTTGGAGCCCGGCGCCTCCCTTCGGACCCTAAGCTCCCTTGGCTCTTGTTGGGAGGGCGGGGGTGGTCTCTAACCCTCCCTGCAGGGTTCCGAGTGGGGGCGGGGCGGCCCCGACGGGCTGTGACTTAGAGAGAGGTGTGCTTCCCCCAGGCCGCCTACTTGGGTTTCCGGGAAGAGAGCCTCAGTTGCGTGTAGGGTTTTGTGGAGACAAATGGCGAGAAAACACAACATCGCTCACCACCCCCGCGCCCCCATCCCCAGCGACAACACGGTGGGTTTGGCTGCACTTTGCAGGGAGGGCGTGGGGTGGGGGGTGGGGCAGCATTCAGGTAGTTTCCCAGGTGGAAGGGGGGCTTCTGTCCTGATGCCTAGAGACAGGCATGAGAAAGATGAGGAACAAGAGAGAGGATGCTCTGGCCACGTTTTTTAAGGGATAACGATAATAGCAACAACAGCCTTGGAAGCAGTCGCCGCAGCTAACATTTATTGAGCACTTGCTGTATGCCACGGCTGTGCTTCTCGCTTGATCTGGCTGAGTGCATTGAATTTTCACAACCACCCTATGAGATAGGTACTATTTCATCACCCCCATTTTCCAAATGCAGAAACTGAGGCACGGGGAAGCTAAGCTGTTTGTGCAAGTTCACCTAGCTTGCGAGTGATCGAGGTGACATTTGAGCCTGGAGCCTTGGAGTGCTAATCTTATTACCTCTTTCATCTTCACAGCCCCACAGGCTCTGATTCCCACGAGGGTTCTGTGCGGCGAAGATTGTCACACATTTTACAGAGGAGGAAATGGAGACGTCGACACCCGAGGATGCTTGCGGATGAGAAGTTTTGGTTTCTGTAGATGTTCATTTAAGGAGCCCTGGTGGGGCAGTGGTAAAGTGCTCAGCTGCTAAGCGCAAAGTTAGCGGTTCCAACTCACCAGTTGCTCCACGGGAGAAAGATGTGGCAGTCTGCTTCCATAAAGATTTACAGCCTTGGAAACCCTATAGGGCAGTTCTACTCTGTCCTATAGGGTCGCTGTGAGTCGGAATCGACTGGATGGCAATTTTTTTTTTTTTTTTTTTAGGTGTTCATGTGGGTTAGGATCTGCTCACACCGACATCTTCCCAGAATTCTCCCCTAGGAGCAGCTATGAGTAGAAAGGGTGACTTGTATGGGTTTCAGGTCCCTGGATGGTGCAAATAGTTCGCTCTTGGCTACTAACCTAAATAAAGGTTGGGGGTTCAAACCCACTCAGCTGCACCGCGGAAGAGAGGCCTGGCGATGTGCTTCTGGAAAAGATTACAGTCAAGAAAATCCTATGAACGGTTCTAACCTGCAGCCCGTGGGGTTGCCAAGAGGTGGAATGGACTGGAGAGCAACGTGTTTGGTTTTGACTTTTAGAATGGTAAAGCTGGGAATTTCCAGGCTGGGCTTTCTCCAGATAATGTGGAAGGGTCTCCAGGCTCAGGAAGGACAGAGAAGACTGTCTTGACTCCCACCCGCCTAGTGCCTGGTACCAGCAGAGGGCAGGGGCATGTCCAGTGCGGGAGTCTAGCGCCCCCTAGTGAGTGAAAAAATCTAAAGACAGCTGCGTGAGATGGAGCCTAATAAGGGTAGGGGGAGAGACCACGTGACAAACGAGGATTTCAGCTAGCAGTAAGGGCTATGAAGACAGTCGATGTTAGCTAAACGAATGTATCAAAGAATGATGCTATTGTACTCTGTAAGGAGAGAGATGATGGGAGCTTTGATATGAGTGGTGGCTGTGGTGATGGCGGTGCCTGGATGGACTTAGCCTAAATGCCAGAGGTACAGCTCATACAGCATTCATTCATTCATAAACAAATATTTATGGAGCACATATGTGTGCCAGGCACTGGGGGCCCCACAGCAAACAACAACAATAAAAAACACCCAACCCATCGCCATCCAGTTGATTCTGACTTATGGAGACCCCATGTGACGGAACAGAACTATTGCCTAGGGTTTTCTTGGTTGTGATCTTTATGGAAGCAGATTGCCAGGCCTTTCTTTCACACTGCCGCTGGGTGCGTTCAAACCATCAACCTTTAGGCTATTTTTCAAAAATAATGCGCCTACGTGTATAACACACGGAAATGATGAAATTAAATAACTGCATATGTCTTGTGACATTTCCAGAAGTGAATTTTGGCCTCATTTATCCTCCCATATTACAGGTAAATCATATAGCTCTGTTCATTTTCTTTAATCTCCTGTTTATGTGTATAAAAATGTTACTTTTGATCATAATTGTATAATAAAGGTATAAACTATGGTCAAGAAGTCATGGGTCGAGTTTGGTAGTCCCCCATTAATCAGAAAATAAACAATTGAAACTATGTGTTTGTTTCTATTAATTTAAGTTGATAATTATAGCACATTCGCTCAACAGTTGAATGCGAAAACCTTATCAGATTGTCTTAAGTGAAGCCATTAGGTTATGTTAGGTCTGCTTATTTCATAGTATAATTGTGTCTTCTCAGTGTCAATTGAAGTCAGTGATATGTAAAAAAAATTGGCATAGCAGGCTTACGAAAATAGTGTGCGGGGGTGGGGGTAGGGTGTTGCACGGTTGTCGAAAAACCATATAACGCGCACATTATTTGCGAAAAAACATAGTTGTTGTTAGGTGCCGTCGAGTCGGTTCCGGCTCATAGTGACTCTGTAGGACAGAGTAGAACTTCCTCATAGAGTTTCCAAGGAGCAGCTGGTGGATTTGAACTGCTGACCTTTTTGTTAGTAGCGGAGCTCTTAACCACTATGCCACCAAGGCTCCTTTAAAAAAAAAAAGGTAGTTCAGCGCAAACTGTTTGCGCAACCTAGGGACCTACAGAGGACAAAAGAGGCAAAAATCTCTGCTGTCACGGACATTCTGGTGTGAGAAAGGGACAATCAAAAATAAGCACAAACACACAGCAGGCTGGTAGGAAGGTGATCAGGGCTTCATGTAAGGAAGCGGGATAGGGTGTCATGAGGCAGGAAAAAGGTCTGTGACTTGAAGCGGGGGGTTAGGGAAATCTCCTGAGAAGTTGACATTTGGGCGAAGACCTTTGGGAGGTGAGGGAATTAGCCATGAAGTTGCCCACGGCAGAGGGGACAGCCTGCGCGTCTGGAGCTCAGTGAGTGAGGGGGAGAGAGGAGAAGGGGAGAGCAGGGAGGCGACGGGCTGGTCGTGCAAGGCCCTGTGGGCTGCAGGGAGGACTCGGGCTTTTACCCGTGGGTGGTGGGAGCCATGGAGGGTTGTAGGCAGAAGAGGGATGTGCCCTAGCTCAAGTGTTCACAGGTGCCCTCTGACAGCTGTGAAGAGGACAGACTATGGCGGGTTGAGGGCGGGAGCTGGGGGACCAGGGCGGAGGAGACTGTTGTGGTCCAGGTGGGCCATGATGGGGCTAGACCAGGTGGAGGCATCAGAGAGGGTGAGAAGTGGGCAGATTTGGGGTGTATTTCAGAGGTGGCACTACTCATTTTGCCAATAGGTTAGATGTGGAGGAGGCCCGGAGGCCTCAGTTGACTCAGCCTGCCTCTCCTGGCCCCAGGAGCCCAGGCTTTGTTGAGTTGGTGGGGCCGGAAAAGTCAGACCCTATGTACAAAGGCTAGGGCCGGGCTGGCTGTAGGTGCTCCCCCACCCCACGCTCCTCCTCCTCCACCCGCTTGCTGGCGGCAGTTACAGGCAGAGAAGAGGAAGTGGTAGGACTAGCTGTTGCTCCCCGGTCAGGCAGGCGGGCGGGCCGGTGGCGGAGGCCGAGAGGGTGTGCTGGTTGGCAGCGGCCATGGAGCTGTGGCGCCAGTGCGGCCACTGGTTGATCCAGTGCAGGGTGCTGCCGCCCAGCCACCGTGTGACCTGGGATGGCGCCCAGGTGTGTGAGCTGGCGCAGGCCCTCCGGGATGGGGTCCTGCTCTGCCAGCTGCTCAACAACCTACTGCCTCACGCCATCAACCTGCGCGAGGTCAACCTGCGCCCCCAGATGTCCCAGGTAAGCTCGCTGCTGGCTGGCGTGCGAGAGGATGAGGATGGGGGCATCCCAGGCTGGCACCCGAGGGGTCGGCGCACTCTGCCTCAGGGTGGCAAAGTCAAGGGGCGTGCTCCCGCCCGGAGGAGGTACCGCTCAGAGACTGGGGCTGCCCCTTCAGAATTCACAGGCCCCACGCAGGTAATAGTCTCCAGGTGGCACAGATGGTTAAGCGCTCGACTACTAGCCAAACAGTTGGCAGTTGGAACCCACCCAGAGGTGCCTCGGAAGACAGGCCTGGCAACCTGCTTCTGAAAGGTCACAGCCTTGAAAACTCTATGGGGCAGTTCTACTCTGCGTATACGTGGGGTTGGGTCGCTATGAGTCGGAGCTGACTGGAAGGCAATTAACAAGCTGAGAATTGGCCAAGCAGAGGTTAACTCTCCCAGGCCCTGGGCTGATTCCAGTGGGCTTCAAGCCCCCAGATGGGGCCTTGTGAGGGTCCTGGGGGGCTCCTAGGGACCCTCTGGGTGGTTCACAGGGGGCTTGAGCTGTTGGACTCCTATGACCCCAGATTCTGGCTTTGGGGGAGGGGCCTCCACCTACTTCTTCGCCCACATGTGTCTCCTCCCTGGGCCCTGGGCCCCTTCCTTCCCCTTGCATCTTCCTTCCCCTTAGCTTCCTGTTGGGGCGGCATGGGGCCGTGGGGCGGTGGGGGGGGGGGTGCTGCAGCCCCGGGCCCTGGGTTTCCTGTTCCATGCCTCTGGGGGGAAACTGAGGCAGAGCCTTGGACTGGCCAGAGAGTGGGCCCTGGGGTTCTTGGGTCTAGAGATAGCTGCTTATTCTCTACAGGGATTTCTGCAGGGGCCCAGGGTCCAGGGGCTGGTGGAGTTGACTGTGGCCGCCCCCGGCTCAGGAAATATATTCAAATCCCTATTTGAATGTGGTTGGGGTGGGGGAGGTGGCAGACTGTCTCCTTTCTCTAGATCCTTCTCTGGCTGCCCATCAGCAGCCTGGGGGTCGGTGGACGTGGTGGGAGGTGTTAGGCCAGGACAGAGGATGGGGCTGGGCTGATGGTGCCAGGCCCTAGACCTAGAGGTCTGAGGGGACACAACTTTGGCCTGGGGTCTGAGGGGACATGACCCTGCCCTGGGGTCTGAGGGGGACACAGTTCTGCCCTGGGGTCTGAGGGGACACGGTTCTGCCCTGGGGGTCTAAGGGGACAGTTCTGCCCAGAGGTCTGAGGGGACATGACCCTGCCCCTGCCCTGGGGTCTGAGGGGAAGTGGTTTTTTCCTGGGTGTCTGAGGGACACAGCCTTGCCCTGGGGTCTGAGGGGGACACAGTTCTGCCCTGGGGTCTGAGGGGACACGGTTCTGTCCTGGGGTCTGAGGGGACACATCCTTGCCCTGGGGGTCTGAGGGGGCATGGTTCTGTCCTGGGGTCTGAGGGGACACTGTTCTGTCTTGGGGGTCTGAGGGGACACAGCCTCGCCCTGGAGTCTGAGGGGGCACAGTTCTGCCCTGGGGGTCTAAGGGGACATGACCCTGCCCTGGGGTCTGAGGGGACATGGTCCTGTCCTGGAAGTCTGAGGAGACATAGCCTTGCCCTGAGGGTCTGAGGAGACACAGCCCTGCCCTGGGGTCCGAGGAGATGTGGTTTTGTCCTGGGGGTCTGAGAGGACACAGCTCTGCCCTGGGGGCTTGAAAGGACATGGTTCTGTCCTGGGGGTTTGAAGGGACAAGGTTCTGACCTGTGGATCTAAGAGGACATCACCCTATCATGGGGGTTTGAAGGGACATGGTTCTGTCCTGGGGATGTGAGGGGGACACTCTTCTGTCCTGGGGGTCTGAGAGGACATGGTTCTATCCTGGGGGTTTGAGGGGGACACCACTACTTTCTGGGAGCCTTAGGGGGACATAGGCCTGTCCTGTAGGTCTGAAGGGGACACCATTCTGCTCTGGACATCTGAGAAAACATGGTCCTGCCCCAGGGATCTGAGGGGAGATGCAGTGCCCCACTATTCAGCCCTCACGCTCCCTCTCCGGGAATGATACCTTGCTTAGAGGAAGACCCAGGAGTTGGTGGGTGGCCTCTGGGGCTGGTGGGCAGGGCTGGTTGGGGCATTGAACTCTCTGGCCCAAGAGTGAGGTGCCATCTGTGCTGGGAGAAGGGGAAGTTGCTGCTCTGGGAGTGGGGCCCACTGGGGGTCCTGGGGGGAGGTTTCCCAGAAAGTAAGGCTATCTGTGGGGGTGATGGGGGGCCCTTTGTTCCTCCTCATTTTCTTCACCCAGGGGCTTACCCCCTCCCCAGCCCAGGCAGGGCTTCCCGAAAGGAAGAGGGGAGCCTAGACCACACCTCCACCCCTGGCCAGCCAGCTGACCACAGCACCATCTCAGATTTACCTACATTTGGTTGACCTCCTTGTGGCTCACAGGGCATGAGGAAGTAGCCAGGCCCCAGACTTGGCAGGGGGCTGGGAGACAGCGATCCAGGTCTCCTGTGATGCTTCAACAGCAGCCATTAAATGGAAAGTGGGCAGACTTAAGGGTGAACTTCCACCCTTGTGTGTCTTGTCTAAAGCCCATTCTCTGATGGAGGGGAGGGCAACGGGGATGTGGAATTCACTACTAGGGAGATAACTGCACTCCATAGACGTGTCCTGATCCCTGTGCTGGACAGCACTGGGGACCTTGGTCCCCAGGGTGCTCCCAGGCTGGGGTAGACAGAACCAGACACCCCCAGCCCTGTGTGATCAGGTCTGGGGCAACAGGAAGAAACTCTGAGCTGGAGGCCCTAGGGTTAGGGCAGGACATTGCCTGGTGGAATCAGGCATTATGCAAGAGGGGCATTTGTGCTGAGTATTGAAGACTAAGTAGGAGCCAGCACAGGAAACAGGCTTTCGTCTGGGAGCTCTGTCTTCCTGTCCCTGTCCATTTTGTCTCCTTCGAAGTTCAGCCCTGTGCCCTGTACCCAGTGGGGATGTGTGCGGGAAGTGCAAAGGTAGCCACAATCAGCAGAGGGAGGTGCCACAGGAACGGCCTCTCGGGGTGTCCGTGTCCCCAACATTTAAGAAGGACGTTGAATGGTCCTGTGGTTTGGAGGGGCAGAGAGAGGAAGAGGAAGCAGGGATTTAGAACGCTTCCCAGTGTTGCTCATTCCCTTTTCATAGTCTTTCTCCTTCTGCTTAGTTGCTTCCAAGGAAGAGGGTGGGAAGAGTATTTTCATCTATTCATCCATCCATCCATCCATAATCCATCCATCCATAATCTATCCATCCATCCATCTATCCATAATTCATCTGTCCCTCCATCCATTCCTCCATAATCTATCCATCCACATAATTCATCCATCCATCCATCCATCCATCCATCCATCCATCCATCCATCCATCTATCCATCCATCCAGCCATAATCTGTTCATCAATCCATCCACAGTCCATCCATCCATCTATAATTCATCCATTTGTCCATAATCTATTCATCCATCTATCCATCCATCCATTCATACAATGATTGTAATGTATGCCAGGCCCTGTTCTTGGTGCTGGGGGCAGTGGGAACAAGACACACACAAAGCCCTGTTGTTGAGGAGCCTGCGTTCTCATGGAGGAGATCGACAGTGAGCAAATAAAGAAATGCCTAAAATGTCAGGAGATGGTTTGTGCTCTGGAGAAAACAAAGCAGGAGAGGGGAGTTGGGAGTGTAGGGGCTGCACTTTTAAATAGAGAGTTAGGCGGCTTCACTGATCAGGTGGAATTTGAACAGCTGCCTAGGGAAAGTGAGAGGATGAGCTGTGCGGATCTGGGCAAGGGGGACTGCCAGTGCAAAGGCCCTGAGGTAGGTCCCTGTATGTTCTAAGTTGGAGTGGCTGCAGGCAGTGACTGGCCTGGACGGTGTGAATGATTCATTGCAGGAGGTCAGATTGGAGTGTCTCCAAGATGGACAGTCCCTCTGAGGTCTGAGGCCCAGAGAGAGGATGGCATGGTCCCTGGCAGCCACAGGGAACACTCAGATGCTCCAGCTCTCCTCTGGTTCATCCTGGGGGCCCAGATTCTGAGCTGTGGAAGAGCTGGAACTAGGACTGTGGGAGTGGAGAGGAAGGGATGAATGTGAGAGTCCTTGTGGGAAAGACCCGCCAGGACGTGGGGGCTGATTAGACGTGGCGTGAGGACAGGTACTGAGGTCAAGACGATGTCATGGTTCCCAGCCCCACTGAATGGTGGTGCTACTGGCAGAGCCAGGGAAGGGCCAGGAAGGGACAGAATAGGAGGACGGGCTGGAGGGCGGTGGCTTGGAGGAGCTGCCCATTGTGTTGAGTTGATTTCAACTCATGGCGACCCCATGTGGTACTGAGTAGAACTGCTCCCTAGGGTTTTCTTGGCTGTCATCTTTACGGAAGGAGCCCTGGTGGCACAGTGGTTAAGCTCTTGGCTGCTAACCGAAAGTTTGGCAGTTCGAACCCACTAGCTGTTCCTTGGGAGAAAGATGTGGCCATCTGCTTCCATAAAGATGACAGTCTTGGAAACTCTATGGGGGCACTTCTGCTGTGTCCTGTAGGGTTGCTGTGAGTTGGAATTGACTTGATGGCAACAAGTTTGGTTTTTAAATCTTTGTGGAAGCAAATAGCCAGACCTTTCTTCTGTGGCGCCACCGGGTGTGTTCAAACTGCCATCCTTTGAGTTCGTAGCCAAGAGCAAACCCTTTGGGCCACCCAGGGACCTTGAAGGAGCCAGACTTGGGTTCAAATCCTGACACCACTACTTCCTGGCTTCACCTTTCTGAGCCTCAGTTTCTCCATCTGTGAAACATGGATAAAAAAGGCACCCTCCTTGGAGAGTTGTTGTGTTACATCCGGACTGCTCAGCAGTGTCTGGCACCTGATAAACCCTCACCAAAAAGTGTTTTTAGGAAGGATTGGGGGTGGTAGGAGGGGGGGCACAGCAGTTTGGTGTTTGGACTAGGGCAGGGGTCTCAACCTCTCCCCCTCACTCACTCTGCTCCACCCACAACGGCTTCCACGCT